CCTGCACCCGGCACACGAAGGTGAACATCTCCACGCTGTTCCTGTCCTGGTGGTGCAGCCCGTAGGTCTGAAACAAGGGGGGCCGGTGAGGGGCACGGGGACTCCCCGACCCCCAGTGTCTCCCCCAGGCAGCAGCCATGAGGTGGCAATTGCAGCATTTAATTGCTGCCGGGCGATGCGGGGCAGCACACCAGCCCTGGGCGGGGGGAGGGGGGGATCTCGCCCCGGTTGGCTGCGCCCCAGGTGGGGCCCCCCTGGCCGCCCCCGCCATCACGGCGCGGGGGGGGCCCCGGGCCGCCCCCGCCATCACGGCTGGGGGAGGCTTCGGTAACCAGGCAGCTCCGTCACAGCAAAAATAAACCCTGGCTCAGAGACAATTTAAAAATACCCTTGATGCAAAGGAAGGTGCGGGCTGGAAGGGCGGGGAGCGTGGCGTGGCATGGCTCGGCACGGCCCAGCTTGGCATAGCGTGGCACGGCACGGCACAGCTCGGCACGGAACCCACCTGGATCTCGAAGCCGAAGGTCTCCTCTGCCTTCTTCTCCAGCGTCACCACCCTCCTGTGGGACACGGGGATCAGGGACAAGGCAGAGCCCCTGGCACCCCCCAACCCCGACTCGCCCACCGAGACCTCGGGCACTTCTCTAATGAAACGCCGCTTTGGGGTTTGGGTTTTCTCTGTGCTGGGCAGGGTCGGGACCCCAGGGACAGGACCGGCCCCAAAACTGGCCTTGGCCAGAGCCCTGCAGCCTGTCCTGTGGGTGCCAGGCAAGGTCCCTGTGGGGTCCAGGGCAGGGGCAGTGTCAGGGCCTCCCAGGGAGCTGTGACTCCATCGTTGCTCTCACCCACCCCAGGTTCCCCCATAAAAACACCCCCATTTCCAGCCCCCACAGGGTGTACAGAGCAGATCAGTGTCCGGGGGGCCAAGCCCCAACCCGCTGGGACACCAACCCCAGCCCCGCTCCTGCATGCCCCCCCCCATCAGCAGAGCCCGGTCTCCCGTCCCTACCTGTGCTCCTCTGGGGACTGGCTCGGGGACGCCCACCTGAACCCCGCGCCCTGTGGCAGAGGGAGAGCCGTCAGCAGGGGACACCGTCCCGGGGCACATCCCCCTGCCACCCCCCTCCCG